CTCCCTTGCAAGCCCACTTATGTCCATTTTCAACACTCCGATTGGCCTAACCTGGGGAGGTGGACGGGAGTGGTGAAAAGCGCAGAGCCAGCATGATTTTACTCTGTGCAAAGGGCAGCAGAAAGTGTCAGTGTGGGGACTCCTAACATGACTGGGTAGAACACAGCAGAGAAACAGACCTTAGAACAAAGGGCCTTTTCTCTTCAGTTTTATAGTTTGTTTGTTTGTTTGTTTGTGAGACAGGGTCTCACTGTATAGCTTAGCCTGCCATCAAGCACATGATCCTCCTGCCTCAGTCCCGGTGCTGGGATGGACATGTGTCACCACTGTGGCCTTGCTTTAAACTCTCTCTCTGTCTCTCTCTGTCTCTGTCTCTCTGTCTCTGTCTCTCTGTCTCTGTCTCTCTCCCTCCTCCAGTCAATTCATTCACAATCAGCTCAAGAACTTATCAGTTACATGCTTTATGAAAATAGAATTGTAGGAAATGGGTCAGGGTTGTAAAAAAATAAAATGTAGGTTTGTTTACATCATTCTAGTTGTGCATTTTCAATTGTGTTTTCAACGTTTGGACTAGTAAAAGCACATATAGTGAAAATCAATAGCATTTTCAAAATAAAAAATGTTCCCCCTAGTGACAGCTTAATCACATGATTATAAGTCCCATCTCTTTGGTAGTACAAAAACAGATTTGGTAGTTAAAATCAGGTCTAAATAAACAAAACAAAAATACTAAGAATAAACTCATGATGGGCTTCAATGAATATGCGCCACTAGATAGTACTACAATATAGGAAGGTCTTGGAGAGGCTGAGACCTCCTCCAAGGGTCTTTTTGACCTTTTATGAAATGACTTCAGTTTTGGTGATTTGAGCTTTTTTATTTGTAGTTTTCCTGTCTTCTGCTGTTTTCTCTGTTACTGCTCATAATAATGTACTCTTTTCTGCTTTTAGTTTTTCTTTTCTGTTTTATGTTAAGGCAAATTAGTTACAATATAACCATTCCCTGCTTCTGTATGATATGTAATCAAGTGTGGGAAACGTGAAAAACTGCAGTGCATTGGGGGAAGTTGGAAGGAAGGGTCTCCGGTCCAGGAAATACGAAAAAGTTGTAAACATGTCCAATTCAGCCTTCTCTTTTACACATAGTCTTTGACAAGTTTCGGACTTTTGGTTCAGTCCCATTAAATGTGTCCTTTTCTTTTGGGATTCAGCTGAGTCTGGGTGTTATTTAAGATTTAAGACTGTACTTACTGAGCAATTTCCATTTTTCTTTTAACTGTATAAAAGCCTTTGTGCTATCAGTAGTAGTTTTATTTTTTCCCCTCTTTTTATTTTGATAAAATGACACAAACACAATGCATTTTTGAACAAAATGTGAGCCAAGTTGCTGTGAGCCTTATTAGCTCCTTCTCCGGTCCACATTGCTTCTCTCCTGACAGACTTCTGTGTTTCTTCTACCCATGATGGTTTGGAAACCATGCAGTACAATGTAAAACAATTCCCACACGGGACCAGATACACCTGAAGACGTCTGAGTTCTCAAAAATGGAGCTTTTCCCATGGGAAAGCGTGCATCCTGGGTCTACTGGGAAATACAAAAAGGAATCTGGCCTTGAAGGGCAATTTAAGAGTTGGAGGCATTTAGATAAAAAGGGCTCAATTTTCCGGAATTGGAGGCATGAATATTTTGTAGGGGCACTGTGGCTGAGATTTCACAGTGAGGACAGGAAAGACTGTCTCAGGAGGAAAGCAAATGTGCTTTGGGCTGACTACTCATTTCAAAGGCCTCCTTCCTTTGCAAGATCTCTGCTGGGCTCTTATTGGGTGAGGAGACTAAACAGTTAACCTTGGGCCTGTGGAGGATGTACAAAAAATGCAATAAATATGGCTGGGAGTCCTGTTTCATGCCCGCTGGGCCCAATGAGGCAAAAACAGAAGTGACTCTCAAGATGGAAGGGGTTTTGGAGTTGGACAAAGCCTTGCTGATGATTTGTGAGGGGGGAAGCTGACCTTTGCAGGGCATGAGAGGGAGAACAGTCTTAGCTACAGGCCTTGGAAATACTGAGGGCAAAATTATAGACTGCAGTAGACATCATGTTTTGATGGAGTTAGCAGGTAGACAGAGCTATCTACTTGGACCAGAAGGTGTTTTTTTTTTTTTTAAACTTTGAGACAGGGTCTCACTATGTAGCCTTGGCTGTCTTGGTACTTGCTGTGTAGATCAGACTGGTCTTGAACTCACAGAAATCCATCTGCCCCTGCCTCTCAAGTGCTGGGATTAAAGGCATGCATTATCATACCTGACTAGAACAGAGATTTTATGCATATAGGGGCTAAAGTAGAAAGAAGCAAGAACTTTGTATGGACTTGACTGGGATAGAACTATAACACCAGCCCAAGGGGTTTTCCCTGGGAAACTCAATTGTGTGTGTGTGTGTGTGTGTGTGTGTGTGTGTGTGTGTGTTTCTGTATCATTGTGGATGGAATCAAGGGCCTTGTACATAGAGAAAATAACTCAATCACTAAGCTACCTTCTCAACCCGATGCTGTACGTTTTTGTACAGAGCCTCTGGGCTTGAAGGAGAGTCAGTGTCTCCATGCAAGTGAGGTCTGGTAGCTGGCAAGACAAGGGAAGGTGACATTTGTCCAGGATGAAACCTTGCACTTTGCTCATGGTGCAGGGTGGCTCCCAGCCAAGTCTGAGCTCTGTCATGGATGACTCCCAGACTCACCCTGACAGGCAAAAAAACATGCTTTTTAGCCAACAACAGCCAAAAGAACACCACTATTTCAAACCCCGACAATAATAGTCACCTTTCCAATTGTCCACCTGATCAAGTAGATTTTGAAGCTACATACCTCATGTGACGTGATATATTCAATTACTGCAGTAGTGTTACCCACAAACACCTTTGTGGTAGAAAAACATCATTTTGATATTGGTACAGTGGAGACTATTCATGGAAAAGTTGCTTGAGTGTCTCTGGAATGTGGTTGCTGCTTTCCTCTAGAGCCAGTGGTCCAGGAGAACATGGTGTGCTCTGTGGATTCTGAGACCACCTGCAAGAACTTGATTGCTTCTCTGTGGTTGGAGAGACCTTGCTATTGATATTAACTGGATTCCTCCTTGGATTGCTTTGAGGCACTCGTTCTCTGTAGGATTACACCAACTCCCATGTTTGGCACAGAAAAGAAGTGGAATCAGGAGAGAGGCCAAAACGAAATATACTAAATGACAGTTACCACTTACTCTCCTTCTGGAGCAACGAGTATGGAATTGATATTAGAATAAACTGATTTTCTTTTTAGATGAGATCAGGTGCATTCAGGTTGATATGACTGTAGACCTGATTTTCATTTTAGAAAATGAAAATGTAGGACTCTATAATTTTTTAACAGTTTTGACTTCTAAAGTCAATGGATTAGGCTCAGCAGTGGTATAATGATATGGTTCCCACTATATGTATTGATTAAATCAGATCATATATGAAAATATGCTTTAAATATGTCTGTGTTTGGGATGTTTCTCTAAGCTTATATATGAATATTATTATGCTATTATGCTTAGGAGTCAATTTGTTTTAAAGTAGGATTAGTTTTCCCGTGATTTGATGCCACCATACACAACACCCTGCACTGCTGGCTTATCTCGGAAACACACCATCATCACACCATTCCAGCAGCTAGGTGAATCCTGCTGGAGATGTGTACCATGGGATGGAGCAGAGCCATAGGCAGTATGTTCATCTTGTGTGCTGGGTTTTTTGAATGTACCATGTTTGGGAGGCTGTCATCTACATGTTTCTGTTTTCATGCTGACCCTAGCATTTGAAAGCATATGTTTAAAATGAAGATTAAATAGAGATCAAAGGCAGTGCTGCTCTGATAGTGTTTATCAATTTCTTAACCCTTCTGGGAGAGATAGCCTTGTCTAACCAGTTTAGGGGAAATTGCGTGTTCCAAATTCATACTGGTCTCATGGGGCCTGGCTATGGTTTTGTCGTCCTCAGTTTTCTGCGGCAAGGGACTTGAACAGAAGAAGTGGGAGGACTGAGCTTGTGAAATTTAGATTGTCAGATTCCCGTGCATGCCAGTCAGTGTGCATTTATAGAGACAACCAAAGAGATAGCTGCCCAGACTCAGACAATTATAGGTGTGTCCCGTTTTATACAACAGCTGCTGCCCTCAAACTGGCTTGTCAATCAACATGATCATGGGAGTGGGGGAGGGGAGAGGCTCCAATTAAAGACATCCCTGGAACACCCTTTACTTTCTCTATCTTCTGGTAAGCCCAGGTTTCCTTAATCAGATTTCCCTCAGGGAAAGAGGTTTTTAGGCATTGTACTTCAGCTGTTTATCTCCAGAAAAAGAGAAAAAATGACCCGTTGAAATCTCTAATCCGTACTGCATACGGAATCCAAGAAGTATTCAGAAGGCATCTCACTGCATTATTAGATTTCCTGCCTTTTTACCTTTGCGCAGTGGTGGATGTTTGATTCATAATTTGGTAGATGACAGTATTACAGGTGCCTTATACATAGACTCTTTAAGCGGCTGTTCATAGACTTAAGCGGGTGTTCACGTGTACTGCGTGGAACTGAAAGTTGTGAGGGAGGACATTTCTCAGGGAGTGAGAACAGAGCCTGATTCTCTTCTATTCTGGAAGAGTTACATTCCATTGTTCTGGCCTCATTAATCGTCCTGTGTGGAAGAAGATGCTTGTCTTACTTGTTTTGTTGGTTAATTGTCAATATCTGTTTTCACTGGTATTTAAAGTGTGCTTTGCAGTAGTATTCTTTTAATTGTGCATGTACCAATATGTTTATTGATTATTACTTAGACAAACCTGGTGAATTAATTTTCAATCAAACGGTTGGGGCAAAAGCTGTCAATTAGATAAGACAAATGTATAATTTTGTACTAAACTCTAATTCTAGACTCAGCAAAATTCTTCAAAACTGGCCTGACTTTGAAATCTATTTTAATATTTTTGTTTTGCAGGATAACAAAGCCATTGACCTTTGCTGATTGTGTTGGGGACGAACTTCCTTTAGGATGGGAAACTGTATATGATAAAAAAATCGGAATTTATTATATGGACCACATAAATAGTAAGTAAAATGGCACATTTGCATTTTATGTATCAGTTTCAGGTGGAACCTCAAAAGTGCCGAACCCTTGCTTTGTAAAGCGAAATGAACATGGCTACTTTTCCTTAGTTGAATTCTGAGTGCGTGTAGCATGTAGCTGTAATCTCCTGAGGACTGTGGTCATATGTTTAATGTACAGTTTTACTGTTTCATATAAGGAATATATTTCTCAGGCATTCATGAAGCAGAAATACTTCTCAGATTTACTGCAAAATATAACTTATATCTTCTTAGAAGCTGGGATGATTGTTGTCCCCAGAGACAACATCTAGAGGCATTCCCATAGCCATGCCTGGGAGAGGTGCTGTTAGCATGTGGTGGCTGGAGATCAGGGGTGCTGCTAAACATCCTGCTGTGCTCAGAATGACTCCACCACAGAGGAGGAGCAGACTCCAATTGTGAATAGGGCTGAGGCAGAGAAACCCAGATTCCAGGACTCTGTGTCATTCTAGATCTTTTCTTTAGCCCTTGCTTTTGGTGTCTACCTCTTCATCCACCTTCCTTAATCAGATCCCAGCTAGGGTTCTGTTTCTGAGTCTTGTTCATTTTCATTCTAGCTTCTCTCACTGCTCCTGCCTTTGCCATTTTGCTGCTAGGGCTATGAAACATGGCTTCCTTTTGCCTTGTTTCCTTCCCTTCAGTTTATTAAGTATAGGTTTGGGGATCCATGATGATCTCTACCTCAGTGACTTTGAAGTTCATTCCCATGGAACCATGGGATCAATTCCCAAGTTTCTAGTTGGTTGTTACCTTTGTAGGGTATGAATCTCCCTGTCTTAGATCTTGGAGCAGGGGGGTTTGCCATGTATAGCTATGAGCCTTGAGCAATTCAAGCTGTTCCAAAGAGTAGTAGTGCTGATTGGAGACAAGGGATAAGTACCGTCCTGGCCTTGCTGCCCTTTCAGGCATCTATCCCAGTGTCAGGAAGCTGTGAGGTGGATCTACCACCTACTGGACAGAGCAGAAGAGAAGCTTGAGAGGTCACTGCAGAAGTTAGCCCTTCCAGTAACCCTTAGTGGGCCTAGTACCTTAGGACTCTGTGCATTCAAGTGAAGGTGGCCATCTGGAGTTGTCTTCCCAGCTAGAGGCCCCAACAAGCAGCTTCTGGTGCATAATACCCTCATTTTCTGGTCCATGGGTCAGGACACTGTGGCTGTATCACTAGGCTTTGTCCTTCCCAGGACCAGGCATAGTCATTGGACCTACATAGCCCTTCTGCGAAGCCTGCCTGCTTCTTTAGCCCGCAGCCCTTTCTGTCCAGTCTTCTCTCATAAACTCAGCTGTCTTCTTCCCTGGCACCCCCTTGTTTGCCATTGATGCCCCCCTCACTGACTAAACCACAGAAAACAGAATTTATAGAATTCTTGTATATTGCCCATTGTGTTCCAGCCCTGGGGACACAGGAGGGTGACACCAGGTGTCCACTCTTAAGGGCTTCACACTATGGAAGTTGTCATGAACCTTAAGAACAAATAGAAACCAAGAACTTTCTTCCAGCCACCACATCGGGACAGTGAATCAGGACAGCAGTTGTGGGGGTCACACCACCTCCTTCCATGCTGACCTTTGGAGAATCCAACTTTAAAACTCTTTAAAACACCGAATGTTTGGAATTGAATATTAAAATCAGAACTGTACAAGTCAGTGGTGAGGTATAGGACCAGAAGGGCTCAAAATGGCAGCCTTCAAGGTTCCCAAGACCCTCTGGGGCAGTGGAATAGTATGAACAATATTGTTCACCTGGTTGGCTGCAGTGGGTGTCACAGCTGAGTAAACATCAGGAACATCCGAGCAGTTATAAAAGCCCTACTCCTGCCCCACATCAGGTCAACTGGATCTGAACTCCGATGCTAGGAGTAGGACTCTGATTTCTGATGTTTTATTTTTTATTTCCCCAGGTAAAATAGAAAAGGCCTAGAGAGCTTTCTAAGAGTCGGGGGTGGGAGTTAGGGTTAAGTAGGGCTATCGGTAGTAAAGTAGATGGGGAGAGTGTTTCCAAGGAGGACTTACTTTGGAATATTTAGAGTGTGTGTGTGTGTGTGTGTGTGTGTGTGTGTGTGCGTGCGTGCGTGTGCGTGCGTGCGTGCACGCGCGCGCGTACACACACATGTATAACAAACACCATCTAGCTTTTTGAGGTAAAATTCACTGATCATAAAGTAAGCCATTTAAAAGTGAACAGTTCAGTAGCATTTGGTGTGTTTGTGCAACCACGGCTATGTAGTTGCAAAACACTCTCATTTGCCTCAAAGGGAAACCCACCTCATTAACAGTCACTCTGCATTCTACTTTTCCCAAGTCTCTGGTATGCATCAATCTGCTTTTTTTTCCCTGTGGATTTTCTTGTTCTAGACTTTTCATATCTATGAAATCAAATACTATGCCGCCTATTCTGTCTTGTTTCCCTCATTTAGCATCGTGTTTTGGGGGCTCCCCTATGTCAGAGGCACTCCATGCTATACCAGCAGTTCTTCTTGATCTTCGGCATGTTGTGGGAGGGAGAACTCAGAGTAGGAGTTCTTTGAAGATGGGAGTCTGGTTGAGTCCCAGCGTGACTAAGCCGGTGGGTCCAGTTGGAGCTGCTTCTGGTGAGATGGAAGGCAGAAGGTGAAGCAATGTGTGCTGTGTATCGTCTGGCTTGGTTTTCCTTTTGGTAGTGAAAGGGCATTGTGTCAGAATTAGTTGTGCTTTGAAGGACTGGCTCAGAGTTACTTTGGGTCTGTATAGAAGGAGTCAAGACCAGAAGATAGTTGAGATTGGAACAGACAAGAAATTTGGAGCCCTTCAAAGGCATGCAGAGTTTAAAGGCTACAGTGCAGTGGGAAATGGCAGAGTTGTTAGTGGCAGGAGATAAGGAAGTCAAAGGAGAATGAGGAGAGGAGGAGAGGCGTGTTTACATTATCCCATGGTGAAGAGGTCAGTGAGAGGAATGTTGCAGATATCCACTAGTTTGGCAGTCCATCTCCTCCAACACTTATTTTCTTGTGTTGGCTTCCCTTTCATCTCTGTAGCGTTTTCTTCCTGTCTGAAATGCAAATATGTAAATAGAAAGTGGGTCACACTTTACAGAAGTTCACAGTGCAGAATCTTCCACATGGTGCATCCTGGCATTTAAGTGACTAGTTCCATAACTGCATGACTATTGGTCAACATGCAGGCTTCACCCTCAGCCTCTCTTGGGATTTTGCTCTTCTCATTTCAGAGCTTACTCAGATTGAAGATCCACGAGAGCAGTGGAGGCGAGAACAGGAACGGATGCTGAAGGAGTATTTAATTGTAGCCCAGGAGGCTCTCAATGCCAAGAAAGAAATCTACCAGATCAAACAGCAGCGGTTCGAGCTGGCTCAGGAGGAATATCAGCAGCTGCACAAATTGTGTGAGGATGATGGTCGCTCGTACACCAGCTGTGAGTTGACTTGTCTCTGATGAACGTGTTTCATTAAAAGCCACACCCCTGCTGGGTTCTCTGAACATACTCAGCTTTACTTGGGGAAGACAGCTTTGTAAAGGTCCTGGTCATGTACTATTTGGCAATCCATATCTTTTAAGTTGTCTGTGTTGTGCCCAGATACTAGAATGCTGGTGAGTAACCAGCGGGGGGGGGGGGGGGGGGGGGGGGGGGGGGGGGGGGGGGGGGGGGGGGGGGGGCGGGAATGGTGAAAAACAAAGATTGATACAGTTTCGGGCTGTGATGTGAAACAGTCTCCTGTCTCATGATTGTCAGGTTTCACTGGCAGGGCTTCACTAGGAGATTGCTGTAGTTAACAGTGCTTGTGTGAACTAATCCCTTGAGAAAGCCACATGGTAGCTTTGTTAGTGCTGAGTGGGGGAAATCTAGGAGTCTGCAGGCACGGCAAGCTCCTGTCTCTCTTATAGAGGCCTTTCCTGGGCTCGAGACTTCGTCGGGCAGAACACCAAAGGAGGACAAACCCTGTCTAACTCAGGGGTTACCTATTGGGGGTACATTTCTCTGACCCACAAATAAAAGGATGGCCTCCTTGCTCAGTATTAGAGGGTGCCACAGGTGGGCTCCCATTTTACTAGCACTTAGCAGATGCTCAGTTGAAGCAGGAGCCAAATCCAGTCTCAGATTCCAGAGCCTGTTGTGGCATGAACAATCACTGTTTGAACCTGCTTGTCCCTTCCCAATAGAATTGTCATGCTTAACAGCCTGTCACAGATGCACTTAGCCACCATTGTTCTGGGTGCCATTAAGCTCAGAGAATTTTGTTCTACCACACTTGCTCTCTCACCCTCCCTCTCCCTCCCTCTTCCCCCTCTCTTCTTTTGATAGGCTTTCCCTATAGCCCCAACTAGCCTGGAACTTGTTATGTGAACCTGACTGGCCTTGATCTCACAGAGATCCTCCTGCCTCTGTCTTCTGAGTGCTGCATTTAAAAACTTGTGCCACCATGCCTGGCTTGCTAGGTTTTCTTTATATCGGTACCTAAGCCTAATTGATACATGGCAGGTGACTACTATTGACCCTGCTCTATTGCCAGTTATTTGACTCTGGTAACAACTTTGGACACTAAGGATACAATCAGCTCTGTGTGTGTGTGTGTGTGTGAAGTCAGAATGGAATTAAGGCCAAAGGGCCTTATGTCTTGTGCTCTTTTTCAAATTGCAGATATTACTGAAGGTGAAAAAATTTAGAAGCTATGGACAGTGGGGAGGGTTTGTATCTGCAGGAGGTATTTAGGATATTTCTATTACTATGTTCCTTGAGGGAATGGCGACAACTCAGATATAATGATCTGTTCTTTCTAAGTCATCTTATCTCTTGGTTGTCAGATATTAGTTCATACTAGTTTATTTTTTTAACCTTCCACCAAAAGGTGATAGGTCAGCTCAGTGCTGAACTTTAGAGGCTGATTTCTTCTTTGCATAGCTGTCTTTTAATGTCTTTCTCTGATTTGGGTAAAAGGGCAGTATCACATTCATAGAACACACTGAGGAGTGTTCCTCTTCTCATTTCTAGAAGAGTTCAGGAACAATCAGTATTTATATTACCTTAGCTGTGGGTGAGATAGCATTCACCAGAAAAAACCCAGGGCCTGAAGTTCTTTGTAACAAAGATCTCAATTATAGGTTCAATGCCTTTATTAGCTATAAGTCTAATTGAGTCACTTTTTGTTCTACTTCATCTAATCCAAATGTCAGCACCTGGGGTTGGAAAGGTGGCACAGTAGGTAAGAGCACTTGCTGCTCTTGCAGAGAACCCAGATTTAGTTCTCAGAACCCATGTGGTAGCTAACAACCACCTGTAACTCCAGTTATAGGAAAACTGCACTCCTCTGACTTCTGCCGACATTGCACACACGTGGTGCACTTGCATGCATGACAAAAACTCTCAAACGCATAAAATGAAAATAAATGAATCAAAACAGTTTAAAAGTCAGCAACCTTTTATGTAAAGCATCAGCAGTAAACATTTTAGAATGTGTAGGCCGTTTCATTTCAGGGCCATGTACTTAACCCTGTTGTTATTGTGCAAAAGCAGTCAGAGACAACATGCAGGGTTGTCAGCATAGCTGTTTTCTAGTAAAAGTACACAGACAGGTATCCAGTCACATGCAGCCCACAAGAAGATTGCTGAACTCTGATCTGAACAGTCAGGTTCAGATACCCTTTTAATATCTGTAGGCTGTAAGCTGATAGTCTGTTCCTTTGTGCCTGCTATTGACCATTTTATCTCTTATCTTTTTATTCCTTTTCTGTGTGTGCATGGGTGTGTGGGTGCATGTGCACATGGAGATCAGAGATCAATATCAAGTGTCTTCAAATTTTCTCCACATTACGTTTTTGAGACTAAGTCTCTCACTGAACATGGGGCTCAGTGATTAGACTACACTGGCTAGCAAGTGACCCCCATGAGTCCTTGTCTCTCCCTCTCCAGTGCTGGGATTTCAAACTTGTACCACTATTCTCAACTTTTACGTGGATATTAAGAATTAAGCTCAAGTCCTTATGCTTATATAGTAACAACTTTACTGATTGTACCATCTCTACAACCCTTCTCTCTCCTCTCTCTTTTTCTTTTTTGATTTTGTTTTATTTTGTTTTAAGATAGAGTCTTACATAGCCCAGGCTGACCTCAAACACAGCTATATAGCTAAGGATAACCTCAAACTCCTGATTGTCCTGCCTCTTCCTTCCAGGTGCTGCTATCACTTGTATCTTCTCATTTTTATTAATCAATATAACTAAATTTTTGTCAAATTTATTTACCATTAGAATGAACTAGCATTTGCCCTCCTTTCTTCTCTGTTTTTCAATTAAAATTGTTGATTTATTATTATTGAAGGGTTATGCCATGGTGCATGTGGAGGTCAGAGGACAACTTCGTGGACTTGGTTTTCTCCTTCTACCTTTACATGGGTTCCAAGGATTGAACTCAGGTTGCCAAGCTTGTGTGGCAAGTTCCTTTACCTGATAAACCGTCCCACCGGCCTTCTTATCTTTAGCTACATTGATTTTCCTTCCCTTCCTTCCTTCCTTCCTTCCTTCCTTCCTTCCTTCCTTCCTTGAATAAATTTTAGTATTTATGTGTTTCAAAGAATTTATTTTATCAAATCTCAATGTCAGCAAACTATAAAGGTTTTGTAGTAAGTTTACTTTTAATTTTTTCTTCCTTTTCTAGTTTTTTAACATGGAAATGTAGATTACTGATTTTAGACCTTTCTTTTCATTTACCTTCTGTAAGTTCTGTTTGACTTCATATCTCAAAATTTGATATATTTTCATGCAGTTTAAAATAACTTCTCAAGGCTGGAGAGATGGCTCAGTGGTTAAGATCACTGAACTACTTTTGGAGAGAACCTGGGTTCAATTCCCAGCACCCACACGGAGGCCAAGAATTGTCCATAACTCCACTACCAGGGGATCCGACACCCTCCTCTGACCTCCTCAGGCATTGCACGGCATGGGTGCACTTACACACATGCAGGCAATACACTCATACACATAAAACAAATAAATAAAATATAAAATATAAAAAATAAAATAATTTCTTATTTCTTTTCTAATTTACTTTTGACCCTTGAGTTCATTAGAAATAAGATACTGGGACTTCTAATTCTATTGCCATCAGAAACTGTACTAGCTAAGATTTCAATCTTTTGAGATGATTTTTATGGCTCAGCACATGGCACTCTCATTGGATCAGAAAGTCACAGACTTTGTGCATCAAGGTCACACCTAGCTGAAGCATTGGCTTATAACTGAGTCTGAGGTCACATAGCTAGCAATCCTTAACCTTTCAGAAAACTACTTGGCAGAAGCAAGGTTAAGGCCATACAAGTTTAGCATTTTTTTCTAGCCAAAGAAGGGGTAAGTAGTCTCACTTTTATTTTTTTTAATGATTCAACCTAATAGTGTGTTGTTTTTCCAGAAGCCCTTTAGGTACTTTATTTATTACATAGTTAGGTTTTGTTAGGTTTCCCGGAGGGTCCCAAATAAGATTTTAAAAGAAGGGAACAGAAGGAGTCTATATCAGAAAATCTTGGCAGGATCTTTTTTGCCAGTGATTGAGAAAGTAAAACTGAGTCAAGAGAGAGAACTTGTTTTATGTCCTGGCTAGTTTAGTCAGGACTGATGGAGACAGCAGTGTATCCCCTTGAAAATGCAGATATCTTTATTCACTTTGAGGAAGAGTAAATGGGTGACCCCCATATAGTGCTGAGCCTGTGGAGCAAGAATATTCAATAGCTAGAGTCCTATGGAGGTGGGACACTCACAAGATCAGTTTTTGTATTTCTTTAGGCTTTTTACCCTCTTGACATTTGGGCAGATAGGGAATTATACTCAATTACATTCCTTCCTCTGCCCCATGGGATTTACTTAGTGCCCAGTAAGAAATGATGAAGATACTGTCTTTGACGGGTTCTCTATGTCTCCAGTAGAGGCAGTTGATGATTATGTGGCATGGACGTCCTAACATTTTCATCAGATTCTATCACTTGACCTGCCACAAGTAACCCTGTAGACATAGTCCCTTCTTCTCTAGGAGGAGACTGTCTTGGAGACCAGAGTTGGGCCTGCTTGTTTTCAGGAAAGGACTGGAGATGCCAGTGGAGCTTCCTGGGGCCTATCAGCTCACCAGGGAAAAAGTCAGCTATGAATGGAATCTAGGAGTTAATCCAAGTGGTTTATCAAGTGGCTGCTGTCCCTAGGGTTTCCACCAGGCCCTTTCAGTGTGCTGTTTAACCTGAGCTACTGATTACAATGAGGAAAACCCTGATAGTCATGAGTCAAATGAATTCTTTCTGGCCACAGGGTAAAGTTCAGTACAGTGATCCTGTTAGCTTGAATGACTGTGATCTAACAGATGGTTTATATGACCGCAGCAGAGGGACTGGGCCTATGTTGGGTAGTGTTTCTGGCTGAATCCATAGCACACCTGGC